GCCAGATAATGTTTACGAGAACCCTTAATCTTTCTGTGTCTACGCGGCTATACTTTCTGGGGACTTGATCAGTCCTGTCGAGGACAATAATAGCGACCATAGCGATAAAGACAGAAGCAATCCTGAGCAGCAAGTCAGGCCCATAGTATACCACAGAGAAAACCTCCAAGCAATACGATCGCCTTCATAGGGGTCTTACAAGAGGTCGAACGAATCCCTCAAGATAAAATAAGAGACAGCTCTATTCAGTTATATCGTGAAAGAACGTTGGCGCCAGGAATTCTTATGGGTATCCCAAGCCAACCACCTCAATCAGCCAATACCTTTCAACAAAGAATGCAAGCCCTACAGGTCTTCAGGCCATCTGAACGGCAATCTTCAGTAATAATACGTGGCTTAGGCTAGCGAATGACCATACGCCGCCAGTCTTCATGCCTCATTTCATGAAAGCCGACGGGCAGCCCCAGCCGCGGTACGATCAGGACAAGTCTTGCGGCTCAACCCAACAGCGCCCGCCAACATTTCCAGTCCAAACAACCAAGTCAGACCGTGACCATCCTTCACTTGGACGACACATGCCTGCGTTCTCAACCTCAAGATGGCGTGGTTGGGGCCATGGTCCATGGTCGATACCTGAGCGGGTGTGTCTATCTCTAAAAGACCGCAAGCCTGGCTGGAACACATTATAGTCAGCAACTTCTACATGGATCTGCAGCGTCCTTGGACCCGGCTCTGGCTTTGGGCCAGAAAACCGTCCTGCGTGAAGTGACAGGGAACAGGAAAAATGCAGTAATTTCTAAGAAGCCAGAAGAGCATATGCAAGCAATTTGCCGCTGTGGTCATGCCGGAATAGGAACTGTGAGCAAGCCTGATTAACACATAGACGCTCATGGACCTGGAGACGCCTTCAGTATGGTTCAAGGTCCATGTGAGAATGCTACTGAACTGCCGTCCTAAAGAGACTGAGACAAAGTCTCAGAAGATTTAGCAGGATACGTTCACTACCATAGCAGAAAGTACAGGACCACCAGGGTTGTGACCGGTTCATCACCGGAAGAAAATTCAATACACACGACAAAAGAGCAAAAGATAAGGTCCGAGAATCCAGCAGCAACGCCCGAAGGAGAGGGAAGCAGTCAGGCAAAATCAGCCAGGTGTTTTCAACCATCGTCTAATTACTTTACGCTCGCCTACAGGCAGCTAGGCAGGGCTGTGCACGTTCCCGAGGGCCAGGAGATTCCAGAATTGAACTAGTTTGTGAGTTCAAGTCGAAGCCGCTTATGGAAATAGGTAGCAAACGCAGACGTAAAGCCGCCCAAGTTGTCCCAGCTAGTCAACGGGCCCCGTTGCGCGGAATCAAGGTAATTATGGCCCACAGCGGGCTCGGACATGCCGTGCCGTCGGCTGTCCCAGAACACACACAAACGAGCAGCATCACCATGCGCGACAAGATTACCTACCGTGGAGGTGCACCGCATTGAGATCGACGCCGCCGCAGAGGCAAGACCCGATGCGAAGGCAGATATCCCTTGGGCTAACAGCGTCCGCAGTAGTAGCGCTGGTCATGTTGGTGATTCGAAAAATCGGCCATCACGAAACTCCACAGGCATTTAGAAACACCGAGAGAAAGGTGCAACTGAACCTACGCATGGCCGACGACTTTGAGGCGGAATCTTTTACACCATCACGCAGCGCGGCTTACATTGTGGAGGCGAGGAACAAGTTGCAGAGCGGGCGGCCCGGCGACACCTCTGAGTGGGAAATGGTGAATGCCCCAAGCGCCTCACAACAAAATCGCTGGCGATAAAACCGTGACAAACCGTCTACCAGGCGCCATCCAGCTTTTTAGCGAATAGATATTTGCCATCATGGGGTGGGATTTGCACCAGGATGCCTGGTCATTTGATGGTGATTTGATTGTGTCTTCTCAATGCATGCTCCTCGAGGCCGAGTTTCGGTCAACATGACGCGGATATCAGCCTTCAAGAACCCAATGTCGTCCTTCAAAGGAAGCTTGGCCTCCTCGGGAAAGCATATACAGAGGATCCCAATGATCGTGGGCATTGATATGACGGAGACTGCTGAATGAATACCTTAAATTCCACCCAGGCCCATCTCGCTGTTTCGAAAGCCGAAATGTTCTTTTGCCGTCAGCTCTATCTCCAAGTAATCCATCGATACAGGGTCTGGAATGATCACATAGTCGCCAACGAATAGTAAGGACGCACAGCTGCCAATCTCTATAATGTGACCGACGGCCTTCGTACCCTATTATCGACGGTATGTGACCGCGATAGATGTGCAGGATGGATCCGTGCACGGCCAAGGTCGTCACCCGCACAATAACGTTGGTCTTCTTGATGAAAGTGAGCCTGGCCACATCTTTTACTACAACCTGTACCGGGATGAAAACGCCCCATGCTGAAGTGGAAGTCGAAGTCTGATCTGCACAGATGGGAGAAAGGGGAGGCATACTCATCGTAGGTATCGCAACCAGCAGTATCACGATCAGCTTCAGGACTAGCGCCAGAAAGAAACCTTTCTCCAGGCGGGCATCTCCATTATGTTTGCATCAAAGCGCGTATGATGCGCCACCTACCATGCGAATGCAAGTACCTGCTGACTTTGCAGGTACATAATGATATTACTGGCAGGCAGTACTAGCCATCGTTCAATATTGCGCAAGCAAGAGACTGCCATGTTTTTTGCAAAACTAGCCCGTACCCTTTGTGTACCAGTTTATCAGCATAGAAACATGAAATCTGCACAAGAAGTGGCACGACTGGCTAGATGACATAGCCTGCACATCGACCTTGCTTCACCCTGTTTTTCTAGGCTCAGTAGAACACATTCTAGCGAGTCCTTGCTTCTGGCAAACGCATGCGTTTGTGTCCTTGATTATCACCTGGGCGCCTCCTGTGCCATACAAAACCGCTTTCGGCTCTCGTTCGCCCTAGTCCTGTCAATGGCCGGAGCCCCGGATCCCAAGATCATTGTCTGACCGATCAGCAAGCCCAGGCCGCGCTAGAACACTTGATCTGCGTCCAGGCGGAGATGGCTGATGACGTTCACGCCACCTTGCCCGAGATCGTCTAATTCTTCTCACTGCTGTCCACCTTTGGAAAGGGCGGGCCTGAGAGATACACTGCATAGCACATAGGTCCTGACGCAGGAATTTTCGGATTCCCTAGCGCCCCTGACTTGCGGCAGAAACAACGCCCTCCAGTGGATTTTGATGTTCATGAGCGTAATTTTGGGAATGTCGTCGGCATAAAGCTGACGGAAATGGTTGGTATCTCACTGTTATTACTGGCCAGGTTTCAGCAAACGGAGCAATATCGGCAACAATCTCGGGCTCGACTTTGATGTGTGTGTCTGCGTCACTTAATCTCGGTGCCATGAAAAGGTCTCGATGACGGGGTTTATTAGTGGTCAGCCGTTTTCGGTTCTTTATACATTGGCAAACAGCTGCTGCCGGCCTGCTGTCCCATCGACGGATGGTTTGGGCTTTGTATCTGGCTGCTATTACTCTACGTCTGCATCGCCATCATTGGCAGACAAGTAATCCAGGCATTTGGCCAACACTCGAAACATACGAATGCATGTGACTCAAAGCCTGGCCTGGGCGGCTCTTTGCACTCTATTGAGCATTTCGTGCTTTATAACATAGACAACAAAAGTGAAGCCGCGAGACTTCCTGCCTTGAGCATATGTGCCAAGGTTGTAGCATGCGGCGTGACTGACTGTGGTCACTATGCGAGTATCGAGGCGGATGGATGATGGTCAGCCGATAGGAAGTGGGAACCTCTTGGTCTACATCTGTTTGGAGGCTGTCTGATGGACTCGAGGGATTGAGACCCATAATGACCGCGGTCTACAGGTTACAACGAACTCAGCTGGCTAGCAAGCAGGCGCTTTTGCTGGCGAGGTATCTTGCTGTATTTATACGAAAGCTAACGAGAATGACAGCTGACTATGACAGCAGTCGGCGGCGTTGCATGGCGAGACTCTCTGGCACCTTGATCCAGCGTCGACAGGTCTGAAGTCGTCTTTGAAGTGTAAAATACGCCTAAGTTCTGACGGCCAGATCCTGCGACGTTGGAAGCCAGGCAGAGCCAATACTAGCTCAGCTTTTCGAATATTTGCAGGCACAAATCTTATAGCACGGTACCTTCACAGAGTATTCAACGAGCAACATGCCCGTATCGCAGGCATTCTAGAGAGTAATGAGAGACAAGTCTGATCAGGCATCCCTTTTCCCATCGCCCAACAGCCAAATAACTAGTTATCCTACTTCACTCGTTCACCATTCCCAACACGCAGCCGGCGCAACGGATTCACCCCTTCATATACTTTTTGGGTTAACCATAGAATTTACGCGGTGAACCTCCACATGTTTCCCCGTCAGAGTCATGCGGCAGTCAAAAAATGCGCCTCCAGGCGACAAACTGCGAAGAAAAAGTAGAAGGGAAGTAACTTTCACCTTCATTGTGTGGCATGGTAATGTTCATCCGGCTCTCTTCACATGGGGTCTGTTATTATGCGCCGCAGCACTCACAGCTCGCCAGTACATACAATCAAGACATATGCTCGGACCTCTGCTTGCTGGCATTTCTCAATTGTGGCCTAAAGATCGCCATGCAGCGGTAACATACCCCTCAAGATCCAAGACGCAAGTCAGAAATATAGTAAGCGTGACGACCCGTCCAAGCGTTCACGAAGTTCGCTGGCCGCTCGCACAGGATCTCTCGTTCGTGTTGGTCCGTGAGACGTTATCACGAGCGATCCGGACTTCATGAAATACACACCCGGCATGAGGTCGAAGTACACGCGATCAGACTGGTGCGACGCGATATGGCTGGACCCCTGGACCCCCGGGCGATTGCTGTCTAGCAGAGACAACGCAACACACAGCAAGCTTCAATTCAGATGGCTAGAAGGGTGGGTAGCGTCTTCTTCCGCCTTGCCGTATAACGTGTTTTCACGAACTAATGACAATCATGATTGAGTATTTTGGCAAAGCAGTTGCCGATCTTGGAGTTAGGATAAACGAGAACGTTCTTGGCGTCATGGACTTAATTGACATATGTGTCTTCGAAGATGAATTGCTTGATTCCGGATTGATCGCGCAATATTTCACTCTCGACGTTATCTGTGACGTCGCACTTGGAAGACTGTTTTGCAATCTAGCGTCTCACTTGGATGTCCCCGAGTACTTTCACATGACGGAGCGAAAAATGCTGAGTATCATCGTTGCGGCCGCTCTTCCCTCCTTGCTTACTGTGCTGTTATCGGGCTTCTGGCGGCTGCTGTTTTCAGAAGCGATGACACCGGCCTTCAAATGTTGATCCGGTATGTCTTGCTAAATTTAGGCCTGGCCAAGCGCTGATCTCGGACTGCTGTTGCACGTATGTTTTGTATTGATGTTCACGGGAGCGCCTTGCTCTCAAGCGTTGGTGGAATGGCGAAACAGATCGCTGGCGAACGATTCAGATCGAGGAGGACGTCAAAGTAGGATATGCTCGGTACTTTGATGGGGCAAGGTATTACACAGGAAAAGGCATCGTCAGAGACTTTCATGCAGATGTGCGGCTCGTTAAGCTTTCTCTGGTGTCACACGTCAAGCCCTCTGAGATTGAAAGCCCTAGACTGCTTTGGCCTGTCACGAAGGAATTGGAGGCGTGGGAAATGGCTTATCTACAGGCTGTTATTGAGGAAAGATTGTGTGTTCCCTTTTCCCCCACTGGTCGTTGGATAGAAGAAGTCCCCAGAGGCTTTAACATCTTAAAGAACGTGCAACTGCCAGAAGGAACTTGTATTGATTACGGGGCGTGGGGTATTTCGAGCTGAGCCGAAGTTTGCGGGCAGCATACAGACGAGTTCCTACTAGACCAATAGTTCAATAGTTCAAGGTGTATTTAGAGAGATTGAGGCTGATAGAAGGGAGGCTTGAGATTGTGTTGGGGCATGGGACGCGGAAATGTTGACGATGATGAGCTGCATAAGGTATTCGTTGAGGTGGGTGGCTCTAGTGAATCTGGTGTAGGGCTCTTGCGAAGGCAATCCACTAACGCTGAAAGTAGCTGATGTGGAGCTACGACTTGGTTTTGTGTGAACGGACAAGGCCGTGAGAATTATAAGACTTCAGTGTCTTCTTGCAATACGAATTCTGGGTCGAGCCGACCACTAGAACAGAGTTGACATAATGCTGGCGTGGTTGCAAGAATGTTACTGTGCTGCCCGTCAGCATCTCGTGGAGATAGACTGCAGGATGGTTGGTGTTTTGGTCACACTGCCACTCAATTTGGAAAATACGTGTGAAAGCACTGAATGCATTTGGAGGACGCGCGAAGAAGCCTTTGCGACCCGGGCGCGCCCAATTGCATCAGTCCGAATTATGCATTAATTAGAAACAAGATTGAATTGTCCAAGGTAGTTTAGACATTTGGTCTTGCTGTCCCTATCCATCTCCTTGATTGTAAAATGACAGCCATGTCAACCAGAGTCTAAAGAATGGCACCCAAAAGGCTATGAAGCGACACTCTTTTTGTAGATTCCATAGCTTGTGGCAACAGAATGACACAGAAGACCGGAGAGCTTTGAACACAGGTCATCTTCACTGCCGGAATCTGATCATCTGCACTAAATACAGGAAGCTGACTGGGCTTGATTTACAACCACTACAATTCCGCGGCGGCCAATCATTCATTCCGATGAGACACCGCTTGAAACGGTTAAGGTTTCAAGATAGATTTCAAAATAAACAATTACCGGTCTTTGGTCAGTATTGCTTTCCGTTAGCTGGAGGATTGCCCCACTCGGAGATTAAAAGATGTCATTCGGGAGGGCGATAGCGTCAATCTTATATGTCCATGAGATGAAATAGTGGATATACATTACTGCCCATTTTCAGATTGCACACCTTATTGAATTTGAGGTGGTCTCAGAAGGAAAAGCAGCTGCTGTCCACTTTCATATACAGGTCAAAAAAGAGCAAAAAACATGCAACACGGGGCATTCGCTGGCTATTACTCGCCTCTACTACTCCAGCCCTTAGTAGCGTGTTTACCTGAGAGACAATGGATGGGACACTGAGCTCTCCAGTAGGTGCATTCGTGTATGCTACGGTAGCTCTATTCACTGTTAGAATGAGCCGTATTATTCATGCGGTGACCAACAAATATGAAATGTCTTTGCTACAAGGGCGTCTTTCTTCCCTTCTAACTTTTTTTTCAAATATGAAATGTCTTTGCTACAAGGGCGTTCCACGATCCCAGGGACGCCAAGATACGCTGAGCAAGATGTTCAGACTCCCTGAGGGAAGAAAGATTTGGGCGTTGCTCATAAAGACAGCCGAAAATATCCGAAAACTGTAGTCGCAAAACATACACCATAGGACAGGCATTCGGGCAGGCCTTGAAGGTCTGGAAGAGGACAACCTCAGGACATGACGCCACCTGGTGACGTATTTTTCTAACAGGGACTCCCCAGCTCTGGTAATCCTGAGAATTGAGGTATTTGCAAATGTCAAGGATGGGAGCGCCACTTCGTGTACTAAAATGCCTAGATATATGAACAGTCTTGAGCCACGGAACTTGTTTGTTAGCCTTCTGCTATGAGCCAAGATTCCCCGCTTTCTCAAGCCATGCCACATCTTGTAACCGAGTTCACCCCGTCGTGTGCTAGAAGTAGCATCCTGTAAGCAAGATACCTTGCATGCCAGCAGCATATAGCCCAACTTGTCCAGGTACGCCGTAGCGCCTCACCCTCTGCTACATTGAGTCTCTGTGTCCTCAGTTCGGGTCCTCGGAAAGAGAGCACCTGGGTCCGTTCGGATGGCACAGGCGTCTGAACTGCTCAGCACGCAACGTGGTACTGTCAATGTGCGGAGAGGCGTCCGCGGACGTCCCGTGTAAAGGTCTGTTTATTTTCTAATGGCATTGGGATATAGCAGAAATACTTATCCACAGATCATAACACAGGGGATTGCTGCCGGCCCGCCTCCTAGGGTGCTGGTCCTTACGAAAGTTCGGTGGCAAATTTGGCCGCGTTGGAGGATGAAGGGCCGGGAAATATACGGTGCCCGCCTGATGTATTGCGTCAAAGACGAGATCGAAGACAAAGACGACGTCACGGATGAGTACATCTAGATACAGAACGAGGACAGGCACAGAGGGCTTTGGAAGATAAGCGCCCTGCCGTAGTCCCCAGCGATCCCAAGAGACGAGGAGGAGTAGTGGCGACGATCTTGGCATAGGAATGCGGTGGTCGGGGACTAAGAGATGGATCACCGTGTCGATGATCTCTGAAGCTTCGCAAGTCGTTAATCTCCTTGATGATAACCCCGTTTCCGGTCATTTCTCGGTGGTTGTGGGAGCAATTTTCCGGGCAGCTGTTCGATTCTCTCTGGTTGATTGCGAGTTTTGGGTTGAGGTTGGCCGCCCGCATCAAATGCACCTCTATGATGCCATGAGGCAATGAAATGTAGGGCTTCGGTGTGGGAGGAGAAGCGTCACGGCAAGAGACGTGACAAGCTGACTAAGATAAAAGGAGAAGTGTCTTTTGTCGATGACATGCAGTGCGGGAATTGAAGAAGAGAGGAATAGAGAAAGAGCTACGTCTTGACTGTGTCAATATCATGGAGGAATGGTCAGAAGGAGTTCAATCTCTGCAGATTGATCGCATCTCGCAGCCTGAAGGGGATTTCGACATCAGGCACGCCCCGGATTTTTCTATCCACTAAACGATGTCGCGGCTTTCGCTGGGGGTTGTTTCCTGTCCCAACGACCGGTCTCTTGATTCAGTGGCAGATTTGTATTGCGCAAAACCTTACATGAGGTACTTGTTTGGTTCGCTTGAGCTCGCTCCCTTCCGAGGCTGATCTTTCGTATCAGGCTCCAGTCCGGATAAAAGGCCAACTTGACCTGCCAGAAAGTACCTCGGGTTCGATGCGTCTGCACATGTTCTACCTGCGAGGATTCTGCGCTTGCGTTGATAGTTTCCTTGGAGTCTATGAATATCCGAACAGAATATGATACGGCGATGGGGGTATATGAAGAGAGCGCGAATCGCCAGGGGGCAGGCATCTCCCTCTTCACGCTGCCACAACCCATTACACCAAAACCATAGAGGTTTCTCTGTGAGCCATCCTGGCCTCGAATATTTCCCCGTGAGAGTCATACGGCAGTCAACAAGGTGCGCCTCCAGGCGGCAAACTGCGAAGAAGAAAAGTTAGAAGGGAAGAAAGTAAAGAAGACTTGAGAGGTAGCATGTAGAGCTTCGCGGCAACTGGTCTGAAATCCCCGGAACCAAACTCCACGTGGTGCATTTTGTACGTACTTAGAGTGATCAAGCCTGGATAATTTATGACGCCATTTATATGTTCTGTATGAATAGCGCCAAGATGACATCTTCATGAGTCAGCGAGATCAGCGAGAAACGACTACTAAAGTGCTATCGTTAAAACGAGTGGCTGTCCCTCGGAAAAGGAAGAGCCTATTAGCAGGGATGGATGAATCGGGTGTACTATGGGTTCACAGATGCATCATTGCTACCGTCTTTTATTTGTCACATGACCATCATGCGAACGTCCCCGGGAAACCTCCCCATAGGCCACACCTCCCCATCAGCCGATCTGTACTTCAGGACGTCTCATCGCGGCTTCAGCTTCATTATCGATAATGGAAACTGTCGGTCATACAGCTCCGCGGATCCGTCAAATATGATAATTGTGAGAAACACAAAGAAGAACTCAACCATTCCCAGGGACAGCGCCTGAGGGCGCTTGTCAGCACCACTAATACGCACGGTAACAAGAGCTACGTTGCAACACAACGATTCGGCACAATGTCTATCTAATTGAACTGCAGAATATTGAAAGCCAAACACATGACATAGTCAGCCAGACGGCTGTAGATGCACGGTACTAAAAGGTGCTGGGCCCGTGTTGTGCAGCTGTGCAAAAGTCCGCGCAGAGATAGTTCGACGGACCTGTCCGAAAATAAAGGGACTGAGTGCAAGGTTGCAGCATCAATTTGCGTGCTGTAAGTCTGCAAGCTGAAATAAGTATTGGCTGTGCTGTCCTCTCCATCAATCGACATCTGATCATGGGCAGAACCTTTCAGCTGGTTCAGGCTCATGGGCGCATATAGCCGTGTCGACTCCGCGTTCGGTTGGATCGGACTCTTCTAGATGTTGCTGTTGATCTCCAAGTTGGCTCTGGGCATGTCTGAAGGGCTCCGCAATTACTCTGGAATGTGAGCAGACAGCCGAATCACACACTTTGACAATATTTACTTGTGCTTTTCTAGGGCCGTCACAGCATCGCCTCGTGCCCTTTGTCTCACCT